CGGAGGAGCCGCTCCCGCAGCCCCTGCTCTGGCTCATCAACCCGGGCGGTGCTGCAGGATGGCTGCACCCCGAGCCCGGGTAATGGAGTCGTTTGTCTTCATTAGCAGGAGGTCGGGGAGGGACGAGTGGGGAGGGCGCAGGGGCAGGTGCCGGTGCCGGGCTGGGTGAGCCCCAGTTTGCCTAAAGGCCCGGGGAAGAGCTGCAGGGCGGGCTGCTCATCCCGGCCCTGCTGCCCCAGCCTGCCGTGGGACCGTGTGTCCCAGGGTGGGATCCAGCATCCCTGGTCCGCTGCCTCCTGCCCTGCCGGGGGCTGCTGGAGGAGGGGGGCTGGAACGTGGCCTATTTCTGCCAGGCAGGCAGGGGATTAGCTCCCAAAGCCCAGGGCCCTGCACCGCTGCCCTCCCGCTCATTAGCCCGATCTGCATTTTAATCCCTCCAAATATGGGCTAATTACATCATCTGTCATCGAGCCGAGCTGACAGCACCGCAGTGCTGGGGTGATGCTGGGCTGGGGGTGCCAGGACAGCCCCAGGGAGGGACGGGGCACAGGGGGCTCTGCAGGTGTGGGGTGCAGGTCTGGATGCTCTGGCACTCGGGGAGGGCATCAGCAGTTTTGGGGTGCCCTGTCCTGGTGCTGGGGAGTTGGCTGGGGCCAGGAGGGTCCCTGGGCACCCCATGGGGAGCAGCTGGGGAGGGTGAGGAGCTGTGGGGCACTGGGAGCTGGGACTGCGTCCCAGTGGGCTCTCATGGAGTGGGATCACCTGCCAACAGTGCCAGGGACCCCAGGGACCCCCACTCGGTCCTGGTGCCCACCGACGGGCTCTGCTGCGGTGCCGGCAGCGAGGCAGTTAACGGAGCTTTTCATCTCCCTCTTAGGGCTTCACTCCCGAATTGCAGCTTGAGTCAGTTGTGTGGAGGTGGCAGCGGCGGCAGCTCGGGCTGGCACAGCGACCCAGACCTCAGCCCAGCCACACACCGAGCCTCAGCCACCGGCACCCAGGTGAGCAGGGCGGGCGGGCAGGGTGGGACTGGTTGCTCCCTGCACCAGGACAAAACAAGGGGTGCCTGCCATCCCTGGGGAGGGGGATGATGCCCACCAGAGCTGGGGCACCTGAGCCATGTGCTGGGGAGGGTCCGTGCCATGTGTGGCTTCACAGGGAAACTTTGACTGTGTGATGGCAGCTCCTGGCTGGGCTGGGCACACTGGGGGCAGAAGGATGCTCAGCCCCTGCCCCAGCTGGGCAGCCCCCGGGGGCTGCACCTGGGGGGGACAAATCCTGGGCTGGGGTTGGCTGAGCCCCTTGACATTCTGGTGCTGCGGTGTCACCCAGCTGAGTCTCACCAGCATCTGGGTGCAGGGTGGCCTCTGTCCCCAGCATGGGGAAACCCTCCTTGTCACCCTGGGATGCCACCAGCCCTGCCCAAGGCAGCAGGACATGGCCAGCACTGCCACTATCTCCTAGTGGCACAGACAAGGACCTGGTGTCCCTGCTGCCCTCCCCAGCAAGCTTTACCTGGGCAGGTGATTTCTGCTCCCCAGCCCTGGGAGGGGCACCCCTGGGTGGGGGCCCAAGGATTCTGGTGCAGCCCCTGCTCCACTTCAGCCCCATCTAAATGCCCCTTCTCTGTAGGACTCATCCTGCCCTGGGGCAGAGCTGGTGCTATGGGACCCCTGGTTGCCCATGTGGCTGGTTGGCACTCAGGGGCACTCAGGCAGCACCAGGAGAGGTGACCCAGCTGTGGCTCACCCACTGTGCTTTGACACCTTGCAGGACCTTGCAGAGCCACCAGGACTGGGACAAGCCACCCCACCTCAGAGCAAGGTCCTCAGGGTGCCCTCCCAGCACATCCCACCTTCTCCCACCGCCTCTCCATCCCCACGCCTGGCACTGGGGGGTGACGTGCCCTGGGCATGACAGGCACTTGCTCGGCTCCCTGACGGCACCCAAGGCAGTGGCCCCCCCACCCCTGCCACCCCACTCCCTCCACATGCCCTTCACCCACGGGGCTGCCTGCCCCCCATCCCTCCCAGCCACCGCAGCCACCATGGGCGAGCCTGAGCCCTGTGCCCAGGCCCCGCTGGCCGTCCTGGCCAAGGTGGAGCTGCGGGTGAGCTGCAAACACCTCCTGGACCGCGACACCCTCAACAAGTCGGACCCCTGCGTCCTGCTGCTGATGCAGTCCCAGGGCCAGTGGATGGAGGTAGGAGGGTGGGGGGCACCTCTGGCACCCGCCACGGCGGGGCAGGTGCAGGTTGTCCCCCAGGAGGTGATGGGGCTGGGCGTGGGGCTTGTGTCTCTGGGATGGGGGCAGAATCAGCCCCAGGGTGGCTGTGATGCCCCCAGGGTCAGAGATGGGGTAGGAGATGCTGCGGGGGGTGCAGGAGATGTTGCAGAGCAGGGTCAGGGGAGGGTGAAGGATGGGGTTGCAGGGTGCAGAGCAGAGCGCAGGGCACAGGAGGAGAGGGTGGAGAGCAGGGTGCAAAGACACTGCAGAACAGGGTGTGGGGTGCAAGGTGCAGGAGATGATACAGAGCAGGGTACAAGGTGCCAGAGAGGGTTCAGAATGGGGTGCAGGGTGCAGAGCAGGGTGCAAGGTGCAGGGTGTACACAGAGGATGCTGCTTGCAAGGTGCAGAGCAGCAGGGCTGGCAGGGCACTGTGGGACACTCGGCAGAGTGGGGGGACAGCGCAAATAGCTGAGTCTCCCGGGGCTCTGGCAGGGCCAGGGAATGGGGTGCCCGTGGTGCCCGACTCCAGCACAGCTCTGCGGGGACAAGGGACACCTTGGCCACCCCTGGGTGGGGGGGACAGGACTTGCAGGTTTCATCCTGGGCAGCCACTGGTGTCACCCCCCCCGGACACACAGGGGACAGCCGGGGTGGGTGGGGCAGGGCGGGCACTGCAGCCACACGCCCCTCACTGTGCTGCCCCGGGGGGGCCTGGGACCACACGAACGGGGCTGGCCCGGGCTCCTGCCCATCCCTCCCGCCCGGCTCAGCTCGGTGCAGCCTCAGCGCTCGCTGGTCCCCGCTGCTCAGCCGGCAGATTTAGCGCTAAATCCCTCGGCGTGTCACCGGCTCCGCGAGCTGGAACCGGAGCCAGGGCGGGCGGCGAGGGCTCCTGTGCCCCAGCCAGACCCGAGGGGCACACGGGCCCCTCCTGGGCCACCTCAGCCCAGCAGAGATGGTGGCAGAAGCCACTGCCGCTGGCTCTGAGAGCTGACACGGCGCCGGACAGGCCGGCAGGGGCTGAGGGGGCCGGGACCCCCCGAGCCCGCGGGGCTGGCAGTGCCCGGTGCCGTGTGGGGTGCGGACACACGGTGGTGCCGGCTGGGCAGGTGCTGCTGGGTGGGCTGGGGGGCTGGCAGGGTGCCCTGGCCAGGATGTGTCCTGTTGAGTCAACGCTGGCAGGGACGGGCTGCGGGGGAGGCTCCTGGAGCCGCTTTCGGCTGCCAGCGCGGCCGGGAGATGCTGAGTGCCCGCTCTGCTGCCGGGGCCCTGGTGGCCCCGGGGACACTGGCCAGTGGCTCGTGCCCTTGGCCAGCCCTGGGTGGGACTGCAGGGGCTTGTCCCAGGCACCAGCCCATTGCTCTGATGGGAGCTGGGGCAAACTGTGGGCCAGAGCCAAAGCGTCCCCTCAGGATAACCGTGGGGTTTGCCACAAGCTCTGGAGGCAGCACCTCCCATATCCCTGGTCCCTGTGTCCCTGTATCCCCATATCCCTGCATCCCTGTGTCCCTGTATCCCCATGTCTCTGCATCCCTGTGTCCCTGTATCCCCATGTCTCTGCATCCCCAAGCCTGGCCCTGGTGAGCTCTGGCATCCCACAGTACTGGGCAGCCCCCCTAGCCCCAGACCCACCCCGGAGCCAGGCTCCCTCCCCGTGCCCCCAGCCCAGCTCCTGCCGTGCACGTGGAGCGCAGCGAGGTCATCAAGAGCAACCTCAACCCTGTCTTCGCCAAGATCTTCACGGTCGATTACTACTTCGAGGAGGTGCAGAAGCTGCGGTTCGAGGTGTACGACAGCCACGGGCACGCCGGCCTGGGCACACACGATGATGACTTCCTGGGGGGCATGGAGTGCACCGTGGGGCAGGTGAGCCCCTGTCCCGGGGACACTGTGGCCCTGTCCCGGGGACACTCCCCAGACCCTCCCTGACCTCCGGCTTTTGCAGATCGTGGCGCAGAAGCGGGTGACGAAGCCGCTGTTCCTCAAGTACGGGAAGTTCGCGGGCAAGTCCACCATCACGGTGAGTGGCCCGACCTGCGCCGGGCTGGGGCACGGGGGTGGCACCAAGGAGGGACACTGTGGTGGCACCAAGCTGCAGTGCATGGCTGGCAGCAAGCCTGGACCTTGGGGTGACACCAAGCTGGAACATGTGGGTGGCACAGAGCTGAGCTGGTGCTGTGGCACTGAGTGGGGCATGTGGGTGGCACCAGGCTGGGGCACACAGGTGGCACTGGATTGGGGTGCTGGGATGGCCAGGAGCTGGGACACATGGGTTGCACTGAGCTGGAACGAGGGACACTGAGCTGGGACACATGGGTGTCAGTCCCCAGTGACCCTCCCCTTGTCCCAGCTGTCATCCTGCTGCCCCCATGCTCCTGGGGGTGGGGAGGGCTCAGGGTTCCCACTGGTGTCTCCTGACCACCATGGGGGGTCCCTGTCCCCTCTCAGGGCACTGTCCTGCCTGCGCAGGCAGGGAGGGCAGGAGGACAAAGCTGTGCAGGGTGCTGAGCCCCCTTGGCTACCTCTCCTGGCAGGTCATCTCGGAGGAGATCTCGGGCAACAATGGCTACGTGGAGCTCGCCTTCCGGGCCAAGAAGCTGGATGACAAGGTGTGACGGGTGCCAAGGGCAGGGTGGGCAGGGCAGATGATGTGCTCTCTCCTATGAAGACAGGCTGAGACAGTTGGGGTGTTTAGCCTGGAGAAGAGAAGGCTCTAGGGAAACCTTAGAGCACCTTCCAGTGCCTGAAGGGGCTCCAGGAAAGCTGGGGAGGGGCTTGGGACAAGGGCAGGGAGGGAGAGGACAAGGGGGGATGGATTAAAACTGAAAGAGGGTGATTTAGGTGAGACATGAGGAGGAAATTCTTCATTGTGAGGTGGTGAGACACTGGCCCAGGTTGCCCAGAGAAGCTGTGGCTGCCCCATCCCTGGCAGTGTTGAAGGGCAGGTTGGATGGGGCTTGGAGCAGCCTGGGCTGGTGGGAGGTGTCCCTGCCCATGGGAGGGAGGTGGACTAGGTAATATTTAAGGTTCCTTCCCACCCAAACCAGTCTGTAATGCTGTGATTCCATGCTCTGCCTCATCCTCCCTCCTCCAGGACCTCTTCAGCAAGTCAGACCCCTTCCTGGAGATCTACCGTGTGGATGATGATGGTGGGGAGCAGCTGGTGTACCGCACCGAGGTGAGCCTGGCGGGACCCGGCCGCGGCCCCCTCGGGCCCCCCAGCCCCACTCAGCCCCTCGCCCCCCCAGGTGGTGAAGAACAACCTCAGCCCCATCTGGGAGCCCTTCAAGGTCTCCCTCAACTCGCTCTGCAGCTGTGAGGAGAAGAGGAAGCTGAGGGTGAGGAAGGGCAGTGGGGACTCACATTCCATGGCCCTGCATGGGTGGTGTGCTGGGAACCTCAACCTGCCGGGGACCCCAACCCACCATAGACCCCAGCCCACCAGGGACCACAACCCACTCTAGAGCCCAGCCCAGCAGGGCTCCCAACCCCTCAGGGACCCCAACTCACCTGGGACCCCTACCTACTAGGGACCCCAACTCACCAGGGAGGTTGGCAGGGTTGGTCTCAGGGCTGGGTGCAGTTGGGGGGTGTGGGTGTGGGGCCCCCCAGCTGGGCACTGCCCAGCCAGGCTGAGCTGTGCCCTGTGGCAGTGCGTGGTGTGGGACTACGACTCGCGGGGCAAACACGACTTCATCGGGGAGTTCTTCACCACCTTCGAGGAGATGCAGAAGGCCATGGGGGAGAACAAGGTGGGTGTGGGGACAGGCTGTGGGGTCACTCCGTGCAGTCACAAGATCGCATTCCAGGAGACAGCTCTGCTGGTTTTGGGGCCATTCTCAGCTCTTTGGGGAGGGGATGGTGGGTCTGGGCGGCAGGGTTATGGGACTGTGGGGTTATGGGGTCACATATGGGGCTGGGGGCCATGGAGGTGCCAGCCTGGGTGCCTGGTGCTGCAGGTGCAGTGGGACTGTGTGAACCCCAAGTACAAGATCAAGAAGCGCAACTACAAGAACTCGGGGGTTGTGGTGCTGCTGGACCTGAAGGTGAGACCCACGTGTGCCGTGTCCTGCCATGGGTCGGTGTGGGGCAGGATGGGCTGACATGGGTTCCTCTGGCAGATCCACAGGGTTTACTCCTTCCTGGACTACATCATGGGTGGCTGCCAGATTCACTTCACGGTGAGCTGTGTCCCCCAGCAGGCAGGGCTGCTGGTGCTGGGCCACACACTGTCCCCAGGGCTGGGGGGCACAGCAGCACATCCTGGATCCCGGGATGCCACCTGACCCTCGTGGGGACACACTGGTGGCCCTGCTGGCCCTGGGGACCCTCACTGCCACCACCCACTGCCAGGTGGCCATCGACTTCACGGCCTCCAACGGGGACCCCCGGAACAGCTGCTCCCTGCACTACATCAATCCCTACCAGCCCAACGAGTACCTCAAGGCACTGGTTGCTGTGGGCGAGATCTGCCAGGACTATGACAGGTCAGTGGCTTCAGCAGGTCCCCCAGGGCCAGGACACCCCCAGTGATGGCCCCTCACACCTCTTCCCTTGCAGTGATAAGAAGTTCTCAGCTCTGGGCTTCGGTGCAAGGATCCCTCCCAAATACGAGGTGAGGGGGTGGCTGGGGCTCTGGGGTCCCATGGGACCTCAGAGACACACCCATCCCTCCAGACACCCTTTGCTGTGGCTCCCACGGTGCCAGGGGCTGTGGTGGGTGGCAGGGCACTGGGGGCCCCCTCCCCTCTCACCCTCCAGGTCTCTCATGACTTCGCCATCAACTTCAACCCCGACAACGACGAGTGTGAGGGTGAGCCCGGTGCCAGTGGGGATAGTCCCACGGCCCCCCACCCTGTGCCAGCCCAGGTGCTGCCCCCCTCACTCCTGGCATTCCCCCCACAGGCATCCAGGGTGTCGTGGAGTCCTATCAGAGCTGCCTGCCCAAAATCCAGCTCTATGGCCCCACCAACGTGGCCCCCATCATCTCCAAGGTGGCTCGCGTGGCAGCCGATGAGGAGAGGACCAAGGAGGCTTCGGTACAGACCCAGGGGGTGGACTCTGGGCCGGGCTGAGACCTGGCATACTCGTGGCGCTTGTGGCGGCTGCCAGGTGGGAGCCAAGGCCTTGCCCAGCCCCTCCAGAGCATCCCTCCCCCCCAGCAATACTTCATCCTGCTGATCCTGACGGACGGGGTGGTGACGGACATGGCGGACACGCGGGAGGCCATCGTCCGCGCCTCCTACCTGCCCATGTCCATCATCATCGTCGGGGTGGGCAACGCCGACTTCACCGACATGCAGATCCTGGACGGGGATGACGGCGTCCTGCGCTCCCCCAAGGGGGAG